CATTTTTATCGAATTATTAACATCCGCCTGAAACTTCATAAATAGTTTCATCTCATCGTAAATACACATTTGCTTTCTACTTGGATCGTAAGATAATTTTATCACAAAATCGAGAAAAAAGGTGGTCTTAAAAAATAATGAGCCGTTTGGCGTGACCTACACCCCCAAATTTTCAAAATAACGAGGTTATATAGGACAAATATTTTTTAGGCCATTTTTAAAATCTATTTTGTGATCAAATTATCGTACGATCTAAGTAGAAAACAAATGTATTTACGATTTTTTAGTGCCTGATTAAATAAACAAAATTTGTCCCCTCCAGATTGAAAACGCACCAATTCCAAGAGTTTTCGTTAGTAAAATTGTTGTAGGTTACGATGAGATGAAACTATTTACGAAGTTTCAATTGGATGTTTATAATTCGATAAAAAGGGGTACCATGGACTATTACTGACATATTTAAATTTCAAGTTATATTAGCCAGGTATACTAAAATATATTATGTTTTTATATAAATAGAAATATTTTTTATTACAAATTAAGCATTGTTACCTAAAATAGAAAACAAATCTAGACCGTTGTTTAACGTAAAAGATAACCTCCAATTTGATTTCTATTGAGTAACCTATTTCTAATTTAACTACACCGAGTTACAACATATCTACAGCACAACAACTTAAATTATAAACAGTTGTTTTGGATGTCACTCAAACACTTAACAGAGACAGGCTGCATTTGTAGGCTTCTTCTTGCATTTCCTGAAGCTCAGGAATAGAGAATCTCACACGTAATACCTAATGCTTCATCCTTTATTCGACATGGTCTGATCTTAGATAAATTGCTTCATGATTCAATATTCATACCACAACTGTATATCACATATAAACATTCCTCTTTATACTGAGTCCTTGGAGCACAGTACGCATTTTAAGCAATTTAAAGTTGCTACACATGCTGATGATACGGCTGTAATTACTCTAAATCAAAATTCCATACAGGTATCAACGAACTTATAATACCGATCGCAAGAGATATGAACTTTGGGAGACCTCATTAAAGCGCCAAAAGTTTCATTGAATCAACGTAACTCTCAGAAATTTTGTTTAGTTTGAGGAATCCGCAAAAAGAAAAAGTACAATGCCGAGGATTTACATCAGACCAAAGAATGCCGTGATGCTCACATTTTAAGAAACTATGAATGTCACCGGATTTAAGACTGGAATTAGGTCACCCACTATTGGGAAAATCGTTAAATGACGAGAAATTATGTACCAAAAATGATCCACTTCTACAGACATGTGCATTAAAAACTGCTTAACAGACGCATATATAACTTATAGGTACAAACTGTTATAGTCCAAGAAATTGAGACTAATGGCAATATTACTATGTTATGTTAATAAAAAAGTTTGTGTATTCCCACTGAATTGATACTGTTGCCAAACAATACCACAAAACTGAAAAGGTTACTGATATTTTGGGATTATTTGATTATATTGATAAATAATTTTGGTGGATTCAATCTTTTGAACAAAATTATTAGTTTAATATTAAGTTAATTATTAACATTTTTTTTACTGTTTACGCCCACTTCTGGACAAAATAGACAACTGAAGATGGAAGAAAATTAATACATCTGTTCTATTATTTGTCGATGGACTCTGGATTGGAGACTCTCCAGCGAAACTTTTAGTGTCTGTAAAGTGGGTACTCGACCCTTTGATTAGTTCGGGATGTTGCTCTGTCATTGATTGTAACCTTTAAAGAAGCCTCCGTCAGCTACGTGCTATGTTTTTTCATTTCTAGTCGGAAATAAAAAAAAAGTTTCACACTTAAGGAGCCTGAATAACGGTCATCCATTTTTTATTTTGTTTGATCAGAAAGGGGCAATTTAATTAAAACTTGAGTATTTTTTTTTTTTTAATGGAATCGGACTGGAATTTAAATTAGCCTGCCACATGACCTCCTAACAGACTTGACTAACTGCAAGTGGTGGCATACCTAGACAATATACATTTTGTGGTCCCCTAAAATATATTTTTTAAAAATTAGTAAATAAATAAAATAAAGAATCGACCTTAATAAGTTGGTCCTAGATTGAATTCATTTCCGTGGATCTTTGAAAAAAATTAAATTAAAGAAGTATCGTTTCATCTCGTTCTATTTTTATCATTACATACACACAAACACACACACACACATATATATTTATATTGTTTCTATCGTTCATCTTACTTTGGATAATTAAAGGACTCCATATAAGTATATCAGGCCCGTGTAAATATAAATGCATATAAATATAATATAATCCCTAAAATAAAAATTTTAAAATATTTTAATTAAAAAATAAAACCCGACTACTGAAATCCGGAAATAAAATCCTTCCTGAAGAAATGTATTTGCATATCCACTTAAACACCTTGGTAGATTGTTAGAGAAATTGACCTATACGAATATTTGAACTTGGTGGAGTTGTCGAGTGCCTTCATTTCCAAACAAAATTGTATTCATTTTTTTTTTTTCTCTAACAAAACTTAATACTTACGGATTATATCATTTGCCAGGTATCGTATTGTGTAATGAAATAAATCCGATTAAATATTCGTACATTTTCTCTAACATTCTACCAATGTGTTTAGTAGATATGCAAGTCTCTTAGAAGGGATCATATTTTCCGATTTATGTATTTTTTTAAAATTAAAATATTGTAAGTTTTTTATATATTTATATATCTATATATATTAAAATATTGTTGTTGTTTTTTTACATTTTTAGTTTTTCTAGTCTTAACATTTTTTTTTTTTCAAATTATATGATCACGATCTTAAATATGATATAAAACTAACAGAACTTTGAGAATACTTAAAATGTAATAAAATATTTGTTTCAGTATTTTAACTCAAATGAATTACTTGAACCTATCTATTTTCAATTTGTGGACAACCCAAACACATGTGTGTTAAAGTATAAAATTCATCATTCTCGGGTCTAGCGATGCCGGTTCGAATCCGGCCTGGGCGGGATAAATTTAATTCGTGGAGAAGCTACGGAATATATCTCAACCTTCCTACTCGGGTTAGAATAAAATTGTTTGTACCTCTACAACAAACCCTACGTGTATCATAAATGGCAAGGTATGGGTTAGTCGGAAAAAAATACACCTCGAACAAAACGTCGCTGTAATCAGGTAAAAATTGTTTTATACTTTATTGAAAGTGTATTAATACGACTAATTTAAAGTACATTTAATACATTAAAATAAATTTAAGGAATCCATAAAGAGTTCTCGTCTCATTAATGAAAAACTCTGTATTTCTTTTTTAATGTTACAATCATTATTTTAAAAAAAACATCGACATGGTACGAACACCTGATGGACCCTAGATACGTTACTGTCTGCAGGTTGAACAATTGGATATTTGATTAATTCGGGTATTTCTATTTTAGTTAATCCGGACATTTCAATTTCGTTTACAGATACCCACCTTCCGATGTAACTGCTCTCAAATACGGCCTTATATTACCATTTTTAAATAATAAACCTTTTAAAAAAATAAAAAAGAATTTGTAATTTTTTTTTAATAATAAGTACAGTAATTAGAATCCCGAAGAAAACGAAAAAATTATCTTTTAATACTGTAAAACTTTTAGTACCTGTTATGTTTTATTTAGTTCCTAAATGTTTTAACTATCTGTTAACTTGTACCATAAAGTTTACGATTCAATATCGATTCTTCAAATACCGTAAAATATCTCAAATTATGAGACCTGTATAATTTTTATTTCAGTAGATTCCTAATTTAAATTCTAAAACCAATTACAGACTTTATGTTTATAATTTTATTATAAATTATTTTACAATAGGCTGTAATCAGCGAATATATTTCGAACATCAACTTTACCTTTGATACGTGATATGAATTTTAATAAAATTTTAAGGTACTACGACACGAATAAAATTTTTATTTTTACGTATTTGGAGGATAATAACAATAAAGTGTCCCGAGTTTTATGTTTAATAAAACCCAGCGCCATAGATAGCTCTCCGTTCGAACGAATTCATTTTATCCTGTTGACGTCAGGTTTGGTTGTCCACCAATTCAGAACACGTATGGTAAGACCTATTTCATTATCTGGCGTTCTTTTCTAGAGAGTATATGGTATTTTAATAGTAGAGCTATTGATATGAACAAAATAATCTACACACCGCAAAAATATAAGAAGAGTTGAAGTGATGATTTTTAATTCAAATATATTTATGATATTTACAACTGTATTAAGAAAAAAATACATTCAGTAAATGTGATAACAGAAAATAAAACACTTGTTGTGAAACTACCCACTGGTAGCACTCTAAAAAAAATGTATTTACAATAGGAGATCTCGAGGCCATCTTCTTTTCAGACGCTTCGGAGGATTATCAGGAATCGAGGAGGAAGCAAGGTTAGAAACGAGAGGGTTTGGATGGTTCTGAAGTTTATTACGGAAGGATAGGTATCTGGATAGGGCCAATTCGGAAAGATAAGAAGCATAAGGTCTTTATGGATGATTTTATTAGTGACGAAGTAAGCAGCATTGAGGATTTTATGAAGGATTTTGGATTATAAGGATTGGATACGTGAGGAATTTGATGGCTTTGTGGACCCCAATTCAAATATATAAATTTCTAATGATAATTTGCACTATCTACCTTAAAAACACGTCACTGGATGTGATTATGAAAAAAAAATAAACTTGTTATTTTCAAAAGACTTCGTCTAGAACCCAACAAGGTTCAAGGAAATGTCATTGACAGTGGGAATTCTAGAAGTCAATGATTTTAAATGAAAATTTCAGTTCGTAAATTGGAACATCTTTGAATATGTTAAAATTGATTTTTTTTTTAATTAAATAAAATACAAATCAAAACATTGTTTCATTAAACCCGCATAACATTTTCTTATCTAGCTATCGATTCCCTTCGTTGATTAATTTTTTTTTTTTGTTGGAAATGTAAGACTTTAAGACTTGATTCCGACTTGCACTTGCTTTGTCCTCCTGGCTATATCTAATGTATGCGGTTGAGGAGTTGCCCCATTGACACCTCCAGAAGGACAACACCTCAAGCGAGAACAATGAGCGATCCTACATTAGATATTCTGATAAATCGTCATTGGATTCATCTCCATATCCAAAGATAGAAGTGGACGAACCATTAGTGGTTTCGTAAAAGGCAGCATCTAATTCTATTCCTTCGAGCCTATTAAAATATTCCGATAATGGCAGATTAATTCAATGGCATCCATCATAAGGTGATGAAACCACTTTCTCCTCTCGCCGCCGTAATCTAATATTGAACGGTGGACGCTGAGGTCCTGTTACCCGCTGCGGCGGTCACATGCGACGCTAACGCCTCATTGAGCCCGGGTGGTGTAACGATTCCTGATCACAATTCTATTCTAGTGCGATAGGGAACGGGCCCAGATAGTGTATATATTGCCCCCGACTGTCAATCGATGCAGATAAGCTATCGCCTCGAGGAGAAAGTTCTGCCAAATGTCCGTTTAAGGACATTCTTGCTGTGTTAGATAGGGTTCGTATTTGGAACAATAGATTTTATTGATAACTGCTAACAATATAATGATTAACATGGTTAAATATTATCAGTTTCTTTCGGTGACAGATTATTTTCATTCATACTTTGTTGTTGTTTTTTTAAATTAATTTAAAGTTAGCTGAAAACATAAAATTCCATAATATCGGCGTAACTTTTAATTCAATTACTAGCTCAAACGGATATCGCAAGTTTGAAATAGAAAAGTTGGTATTATTTAATTAATAATGTTTCTGTTTTTGACGTTGAGGGATTATATTGCACCGATAATGCTATGTCCGAATATTGTTGAAGGAATCTTCTAGGGATCTTCTCGTTTTTGGGATGTGTTTGGTTTGTTGCCAATATGATTACGAACTGAGGTTTATTATGAGAGAGTGAAAAAGGGCGTTTTTTTTCTCCCTTTCATTATCTTATTTCAAAACACGCAAAAAAAAAATTATAAGTTATTGTTTAGTTGTGAATATGCGAACTTTAAAAAAAAAATTGATTATAAAATAACGTGGTTCTCCCACTCTAACAATTATTTATTATTCTTTTTTTTAACAATTGTTCAGACCTTCGATTTTGAGCTGCTGTGTTTTTCTATTTCTTGTATTTGTATTTGTTTATAGTTTTCATGAAATAAATTCAAATCATCTTAAATCCTCATATTTATTGTCCGGTAGAAGCATATTTCAACAATTTAACCAAAAAAATAACATTTATTAAAAAAATATTTGTTGTAAGAATTCGTCTTCCGTAATAAAGGTTATTTAAAAATTTGAATTCAAAGACTAACCTAACTTCCCCTTCTCTCCTCATGCTTTGAACACAGTTATAATGTTTTACAAACCTTCGCTCCCTCCAATATTTCCGGTGTCCATGACTCTATGATTAGATTCATACTATGATACTTTTAATTTTAGTCATAATAAAAACATGTTTCATACTGAGAGTTGAACGTTCGTTGACCATTCTCCTAAGTATGTAGAATGTCGTTAGATAAAACTCTCAAAATTGTTATCATGTTTTGTAAATATTTCACGAAAGGGTCTTTAGCCGAAGTTGAGGAGGTCCTGATGGCTAACACCCAGTGACCTATTGGGAAACCTTTCCATTAGCACGCTTAAAAGGACTTGGGCCTACCAAATAAGGTCCAGCGGAGGTGCAGTCCATTCCTCGGCCAACAATGACAACCCGCCCCGGTAGGACACGAGTTCCCCGTGCAGGCCTTTGGTGTTGGAGCTGATGTATGAGCAGATATTACTGGCTGCCATTTCTGTGGATACACTGACAGCGGCTCTCCTAAAGGCAATGCAAATGCTTGGTCGACAAGGCCTCACAAATATCCACTGCCTTGGTAATTAATATCCAAGTCCTCTTTACGGCCGCACTCCTAAGATGGAGAAAATCCGCCGGCCGCTTTTGTGAAAAAAACTGACCGCATGGCGACGGGTCCCCGGGCACGGCTCTAATTCACTCATCGCCCGCTGATTGATTTAGCGCTGAGTTCGCAGCGCGTGCAACACTGCCTATATTTACTCATGCCGATTGTACAAATGGCAGATTGGATTTATTACCTTCATTTCTATTTAGTCGTTTCTTATTCTATAGTTTATGGCCACAAATGGCCGTATAAGTCTTATCGAGATTATAAATAATGAACATATGAAATATGAACTGGTATGACGAGAGTGTTTTTCATTTAGAAGCTGTCGATATGCGGCAATATGAGGCCTGGAAATGTTTGAAAATATTTTTTTTTTCAACATTTAAAATAGAATAGAATATCATATCTTTAGGCAACGTAGGGAGTGTAGTAACTCATTTCTCATTCATTATTTCCGGAACTGGGTTTGAATCCGTTCGGTTGTGTATTTTGGGGCACATCCAGTCTCTAAGATAGCCTCCGTTGAGAAGGAGGATTATCCTTGGACAGGATTATCCAGGAATAAGAATGGTTAATCCTAGAAGAGGAGGAACAGTCTGCAAAACTTGGTTTTTGAGCTTGGGGTACCTCAAAAGGTACATTTCGGTTGAAAAATCGAATCTAAAGTTTGTCCCCGTTGCAATAGTATCGCTTTTTATCTGTTTGATGCTTAGTGGAAGTAAAAAGTGATAATGATAAAAACCTATATTGTCTAAAGATATTTGAAAAACAAACGGTAGCATCCGAAAAAAAAATATATATAATATGGACATATTACCGCATATGTATTTTGAGTTGTATTATTTTTTTTATGTTAAAGTAATACACTGATGAGAGGTAACGAGCAAGACTTGATTGAGGAGTTAATGACCCTGCATCTGTTCAGTTCGAGTCTATTTCCTTTTTGTTCTTGACGCTTAAAGAGACTTTAATTGCCTCGAATTCTTGGGATACCTAAAATTGTGGAGGGGGGTAACCGCGCCGCCTTCCGGGTCCGCGAAAGAAACAGGTAATGAATCGGCCGCTCGGTAGCCTCCCCGACAAAGGCATTTATTCAGCATATTGTCGCTATTTTATTTTCCTCAAGCTCGTACCATCTGTTATCCTGCTAACTGAGGGACTGACGTTTCCATGTTTCATTTATTGCCAATTCGAAGTCAATTATATATTCAACAAGTCTTATAAACTCTTTGATTAAAATTTATTTTTTTAATTGCTTGTTCGAATTCGACAGAAGGGTGATGTGTGGCCCACGTGTCAAAGCGAAAGAAAAGACTTTAAACAGGCTACTGAAAAAACTGTACTCTCAGTTTTTTCCAAATCAAAATTGAAAATCTGGAAAAAAGCTAATTAAGACTAATTACAGCAGTACGTAAACCGTTGTACGTAAACAACAAAAATTAGCATGCTCCCGTTTTTTGTATCTAACAACGAACTTAACAAGGACATCGCCACGGTTGACGTACCTTTCGGAATACGACTCTTATGTGATATTCAACAACAAATACAGCTGAAATAGACTTTAAGCAGTTTTTAAAAATCCATTCTTAAAAATAAAACAAGGTTACTAAAATTTAAATTTTTTCAGTATGTTGCACACTGATAGATCCATAGAAGGAGAAAAAAAATCAAAAGTTAGTCTCTTTTGATTATTATACTTTTAAAGTACTAAAAGTCTTGCTTCAATTACCAATCAATTGAAATCGATTTTTTTTTAAACCACTTTCCTTCTTTCTTAGATGTATTGAGGGGCAAAAAATATAGAAAAAAAGTCATCATTATTTAAGTTTTTATTATGGTTTGATATATACAAAATCACTAGAGTTAGAGATATTTTCCCAAAACATGTTTTCAGTTGACTAGCAAATTAAAAATGACCGCAAAGAAAAAAAAAAAAAAAAAAATATTATAACTATGTTCTTTGGCTCTCAATGAAATGTTAAATGATTGGTAAAAAAAAATATATATATATATATATATATATATATATATATATATATATATATATATATATATAAATTAATAAATGTCGAGAAACAAAATTAATTCTAATTTCAAATGGATTGACCCTATAACGACCCAGTTTTGATTGAAATGATACTTTTGGCACGCCTTAATTCACCCCGGTAGAACTTTATGTTATTCTTTCAGATTAATTTAATTATGAAAGCAGATCCTTCATCCAACTCTTATTTGGCATTCCAAGGATATTTTGTGTAAGCTTCGTCCATTAACTGTTGGAATATGGAGAATCAGTTCGTAAACTTAAATTGCTGAAATACCGTAGTTCCATCTTTAAGATTTCCTTGTCTCTTCCTTTCCTATCTTTTAACTTTTAAACTATCCGTAAATTCGAGTTCCATTTGCGTATAAAAAATTATTTTTAATTTTTTATGTTAATATAGAATGAAGAATATTGAATGTGTACTGATGAAATCTGTTCAGTGGAATATGATTCTTAGTTTTAACTGCTACCTACAAATTAGAATGAAGATGCTTCTTTCACTTCCTTTTTAGCCATTTTTAATATGTTTCCGTTTTTCTTCTACATTTTTTATTTTTAAAAATCTTAAAACCTAGTTAATAGATTATGGTTATTCTTTTTTATGTTATTCGGTTTCGCAATTATAATTGATATTACAATATAAAAATTGTGATAATACATAGTGGCTTAATGTTTCTCCCTTAGCGAATTTTCCAATATTTTAAGACACCATAAACCACAATTTTTCCATCCTGCTTCCAGAGAATCCTTTTATGGTTAGAATGCCTTAAGAGAGGAACCATGCTTCTCCTATTCCGTATAAAAAATTTATGGCTTCGGTAAACCATAATATTGCGGTCAAGGAAAAGATATCAGACGTAGATTATTATTTTGGCCCCAAAATCTATCTCTTAGGATTGTTTATAACCGCCGCTTACGGAACGTAAATATTTGATTTGTTTTTCTCCTTTTTCTTTTTGATTTTGAACCAAGCCGCCTTTGATATGTTTGTTCTGTTTGAAAGTTCTTAGTTCTCAGTATGAGGAGGTAATTTGAGTTCTTTTCTGGTAGTTTTGACGTTTAAGGTTGACCCAGTTTCGATGGTGTGGTTTTGGGTTAGTTCGTTGGAGACTGACCGTGTTGTAAGGGCTGTTGTAACTTCATTAAAAGTTATTTTATCCTCTTATATCAAGTCAATTATTATATTCTAGAAACAATATTGTTTCACATTGAAGTTTGTTATAGATAAAAAAAAAATGTGCGGTCGGTTTTGAACGTTAATTGATTTGATTTATTATGTTTATGAGATTGTAGTTTATTTTTTTTTGTTTTTATGATTTTTGTCTCGAGAAAGTATAGTTTGGTCTAGAGAAAACGAATTACTTTAATAATATTTAGCGTAAGTAATTAATTATGTACCTACCTTACTTTTTACCTTTCTTAAGTAGGAATACAGCGAAAATCGTAATACGAATTCTTGGACGAAGTTAAGATCTTGAAACTTAATTTTAACTTTATAATACAATTATAAATATAAATTTGTAGGTACTCACCTTATAGTATTTTCATTGAAATTAATAAGATTGAAATAAAATGGTTTATTTTAAAATAATTAACTTATTAACGTTTCAACAGGAAGCAGACGAATCAGACGAAGAAGAGCAGTGCGCCCTGAGTGAGAACTGGACTTTTCAGCCGGAAATACGTCGCTGGAGCAGAGTTTCCGAAGTGAACAGCCAAAAGTTGGCAGCACTGCAAGCTGCAGCCGGTAAGTGGCCATCATAATTAAACTATCCTAATGAGTCGTGTTCGAAAAATCATGTCGAAATCAAAACAATTAAATAATTTTTTATAGACAATATTTAAAATTGAAATAATCAAAATTATTCAGTTCACAAAACCAAAATTATTGCTATAATAACCTCTTAAAACCGAATTTTACTGACTCGCGGTATCTTTGTGCAATCGGTGTTCATTTCACTGACTATTTATCATGTCCTGATAACTTTTTTCTTCCCGAAATATATAGTAAGTGTTTTACGATCCATCACTTTTTATCCCATTTTTTCACTTTTATTTCAAAAGAAAAATGCAACAAACAACATCTTACTCCTTTACCTCAATATCCCATTTGTTCTAGAAAATATCCCACATAAATTCTCTAAATTTCACTTATAATATTCCTCGAAGATTTAAATGGTAGTGACCCCGCGACCTTTTGTGTTATGTATATAATGGAGTTCCGACAACGGCCAGATTCTCCACTCAAGTGTATTTAGTTATAATGCTCTTGTTCAATCTCCACTGGCTTTTAGTAACAGTGGCGCAGTTGAGAAGGCAGTTCATGGATTCCATGAAGTCCTGCTTTTCCCTCCTCAGTTCAAGGGACAAGAATGTTTCGCGGTTCCCTTGGCTGGATGTAAATAGTATATATTGATATATTTGTTTCATTTTACGATACTCATCTTTAAATTTATTTATGTAATCTTATTTAGTTACCTTATATAATTATATATAATTTTTTGATTTTTATAGATGATAAATAATTAAGAAACAGTCATTTTAAGATTTTTATTGTTGCTGACGTTTCAACCCAAGCATGTTGGTCATCATAAGGGTATGTTACTTTAACTAAGTACTTAAGCTCCTTCAGTCAAACATGCCCAGATGATGACCCTCATTATTGGGTTGAAACGTCGGTAACAACAAAAATCTTAAAATGAGTGCGTCTGTTTATCGCCTATGATATTTAGAACAAACGACTAACTTCCTTCGCCTTTTTCATTTTTATTTAGTTGTCACTTTATTTTATTTATTTATATTTTCTGTCCTTCAAATTAAATCATAATAATGCCTATTCAACCCTTTTTTCCCAGTCCGCTGGTGTTCCTCAAGGTAGTATCCTAGGTCCTATCCTTTACACAGTTTATACAGCTGATATCCCAACCCATCCTAACACAGTCATTACCACGTACGCCGATGATACATGTGTCCTATCAGTTAATAACGACCCAACAATTGCATCCCAAACCCTTCAATCACACATCACAAACCTTGAAGAATGGTGTCAAAACTGGAGAATAAAAATAAATCCCATCAAATCACCTTTACCCTTCGTCGTAAACCTATGTCCTCTTGTCCTACAGTATCCTTTAATAATATCCCACTTATTCCTGTTGAACAAATTCGATACCTTGGACTCCACTTAGACAAACGTCTAACTTGGAATCTTCATACCAGACTGAAACGACAAGAAACAGCTCGACGTTTCCGACTACTCCAGCACTTACTAGATAAACGCTCTAAACTCCCAGTCAATTACAAAAGACTCATATACGTGACTACAATAAGACCTATTTGGACTTACGGAGTTGAGCTCTGGGGCTCCACTAAGCCATCGAATTCCTCTCGTATTCAATCCTTACAATCCAAAATCCTTCGTAAAATCCTCACTGCTCCTTACTTTGTCACAAACAAAATCATCCATAACGACCTTAATGTTCCTTATGTTTCTGACTTGGCCCAATCCAGATACCTATCCTTCCATAACAAACTTCAGAACCATCCAAACCCTCTCGTTTTTAACCTTGCTTCCTCTTCGATCTCTGACAACCCTCAGAGGCGTCTGAAAAGAAGATGGCCTCGAGATCTCCTTTTGTAAATACATTTTTAGAGTGCTACCAATGGGTAGCTTCTCAACATGTGATTTCATGCTATTTTATTCCTTTGTTCACATTTACTGAATGTATTTTTACTTGTAATACAGTTGTAAATATCACCAATAAAAAAAAAATAATAAAATAAAAAAAATATTTTCTTTAAATATGGTGAAAATGAACTCTATCCTATCTGTAATCATTCTCTATATCGTGACAAAATATTATATTAATCAATAAAATAAAATTCAAAAGAAGAAAAAAAAGTCACTATCAAATGCTCCAAAATAGAAAAATATATTAATTTAAAAAAGAAATTTATCTTGTTTTACGTTTACACATGATTTAGTTTTAAAGTTTCCTTTTTTTATTATTGTAGGCGACGTAAATCCTTTATTTTGGTCAGGTTGTAAAAGTGTGCCGAAACGTTTAGTTCCCTAGACTTTTAAGTTTTTTTGTCTGCGCTATGTTTGCACCTGTAGGTTGGTTACCTTTAGCACTCCAGGTCAAATACCTTGAGTGCCTTTTAGTAAGTCTTTTGGCTTGCCGGTGTGAAGTGTGTTACCGACACGATGTGGGAAATGTTCAGTTCTTGGAATTTCTTTAGCAAGGTATTCATTTTCATATTAACCCATTTTTGTTGAGAAATTATTTTATGAAAATATTTAAACGAACACACATACAAGTATTGATTTTATATATATTTTAAAATTCGACCACTAGATCCTTAGATAAGTTAACAGACAAATCTTATTAACAGATATACCAAGTAATAGTAATTCCGTGTCCTAGATGGATTAGAAGATAAAATAATTGATAATAATCTGTAGTTCAATCAATGATTGTAATTTTTGTTTTATAATATGTTTATAAAAATTTCAAATTATTATCGACTTAAAATAAATGCCTGTTCCCATAATTATCGGAGCATTTCAAAGAAAGCTGAAAGTTCCACCCTTCCGCGAAAATTAAACCCGTATTTATTAGTGGATAGTTTTATTATCTTCATTAATTATTTTCTCCTTACTTCTTGCTCATAATTCTAAATTTAATGGTTTTAAATACAAAATTATTTAAATTAAACTAAAAATGAAAATTTTTGTTTTATTAAATTAAATTCGTGTCGTACCAGACTCCGCTATTGTGTGCAAACGCCCTGAAGTTTTCATTACTTAAGAGCAAATAATGTTTTGGGTCACATTGTATTGTTACGTTATTTTTTAATTTAGATTGATTAACTGAGATTTAGATTGAACAAAGCCATGTACTTCTGTTCTCTTCGCCCTCGTAGGCCCTCCTCATTCGAGACCCGAAGGATAGTGGTTATACTGATTTACTTTGTTTAAAGCTTTATCTTTTGAAATGTAGAGGACTGAACACGTAATAGTTGGGTAGAAATTACTGATCTGTGTGAAAAATGACAGTTTTCAGAATGACGCTACTAGAGTGATTGCATATATATTATTACGTTAGATTAGTAACGCCCGTTAGAACATTTCAACATTTTTTTAAACATTCTGTTATTTTTTATGTCCATCATTCTCCCAAGAATATTTTTGAAAAAAAAAATGTTATACTTTATTTATACGTCAATTTTGAATCGAAACCCAACCAGATGCGTCGGAGGAAATTATTGCAAACTTCCGATTTGGATTCAATACACCAAAAACACGTAAAATCGCAAATAAATATACTTAAATCTTGTTTAGCTACTGTTTATATTATACTTGATCCAATAGTAAATTTGACGCTGTCAGTTTTGAAAACATAACCAGGGACGCCGTTAGAAAAAGGTGATTTCTCTTTTAGAAACTCATGGTAGACATTCCATCAAAATTTCTGCTGTCATTCATCTCATTAAATGAAACATCGAATTTCATTTAAAAACATTTCGAGTGTTGATCCAAATTGTGATGTCAAAAATGGTCCCATTCGTCCCTATCTATGTTTTTAATAATTCGTACGTTTATGGTAATGTAAAAGCGTAAAATAACTTTAGATCTACATAATTATAGTAAAAAGGGTATAAGAATAAAAAAGTCAACTATTATTTCATTTTTTATAAATTTAAGTTCGTTTTCCATCAATGTTTTATTTATTTTATATTATCATTTTTGACGACGTTTCGGCTAATTCCCATTCTGAAAAGTTGTTATCATTGAATTACAATTTAATTTTTTACAATTAAAACATTAATTTATTCTACTCATATAACATATCTTATTCATCTAATAATTTTTCCATCCATATGTGTTTTATATCACTATTTATACATTTTTATTTTCTAACATACAGTTCCAGCCTCAGAAATTTGATGCTTCAGGACAATGACGTCATCTAAAAAAAATATATATTTCTCAAGCTGTTTTATGTTATGTAATATTTGAACCAAAATGACGCTCTTGGTTAAGACGAGAACTTTGTCTATTAAATTAGGTACTAAAAATTCGTAAATACCCATTGGCTTTCTATTTGGGTTGTAAGATAATTTGATCACAAATTGATGAAAAATGTGGCCTACATAAATATTGGGCTGTTTGTCCAATATATCATCGTTATTTTAAAAATTTGGGAATGTAGATCACGCCAAACGGCCCAATATTTTTGTAGGCCACAGTTTTTATCGATTTGTTTGTGATCAAATTATCTTACGATCCAAGTAGGAAGCAAATGGATATTTACGAGTTTTAGTACCTAATTAAATAGACAAAGTTTTGCCCCCCCCCTTCAGATTGAAAACGCCCCAATTTCAAGAGTTTTCGTGAATAAAATAGTTGTAGGTTACGATGAGATGAAATTATTTACGAAGTTTCAGGCGGATGTTAATAATTCGATAAAAAGGGGTCTTTACTACGAACTATAAAATGAAAGATAAAATAAAACATAAATTTTATTTACATTTATTATTATTAAAAGTAATTTCTTTATATGATACTTTTTCCTTGTTATCCTTGCTTATTGATAATGCTATCTACATCTTGTAAACAGGTAAGGAGATGAGCGGGGACAAAGAGGCCCCCGTTATCAGGTACGGGAGCCTGCCCCCTGGCGCCCTGTCTCCGGACTCGGAACTCCTGGCGGCCAAGTTCAGGCGGAGCGGGAGCGAGAGGCTGCGGGACGGGGCCAAGGCCTTCCTCAGGCGGATGGAGAGCCTCAAGTCGAGGAAGAGGAAACGGCAGAGGGAAGGAGTAGTCATCAGCAGTCCACAGGTAATCTTCCTTGCGTATTAGGGCTGGAGCCTCAAAAACGGAAACAAAAATATCTGGTGAGCGCATCACACGACTTTCACTTATTACCCTCTTCTCAGCAGAAATAAGTACTATCAGACAAAGGGAAAGTGAAAGTAAAAATTATTGATGCTACATTTCTTTACATTTCATTGTGGGTATTTTTATTTGTTTAACTGCCCTTATGTATACAAATTTTTATTTTTATATCGCTGTAATCTATACAATTAAATATTAAATAATACCAACGATAGCATTTATGAAAACCACATATGTATATGTACATGAAATTGTATAATACGGAGTCCGTATTATATTAAGCTCATGTCGCGTATGGAAGTCAGTTCTAATCTTTCAAATGAGCTCAGGAGCGCTCGTATTCCTTTGGCTTCTCCATTATAACTATTATCTGTTACAATCTCATATTTCTCCTCTTGTTAATTATCAAATTCTTTCATATTTTTTATTTAACTATTTTTTATATGTAAAGTGAAATGGTTAATTATTTTATATAAAAAAATTAAGAGGAGAAGAGGTTGGTCTTTTAAAAAATAGTATTTTTAATTGTTACGCCGACGTTTTGACCCACCTTACAGGTCTTCATCAGGGCTAAAAAAGATACAAAATATAAAAGGCACATGGTGAAAATAAAATAAATGAATTATAAGTAGATATTACCCCCATACCAGACTGAAACGACTAGAAACCGCCCGACGTTTTCGACTACTGCAGCACTTACTAGACAAATGCTCTAAGCTCACAATCAATTACAAACAACTCATATATATGACAATAATAAGACCTATTTGGACTTACGGAATTGAGCTTTGGGACTCCACTAACCCATCGAATTCCTCTCGTATCCAATCCTTACAATCCAAAATCATTCGTAAAATCCCCAACGCTCCTTACTTTGTCACAAATAAAATCATCCATAAAGATCTTAATGTTCCGTATGTTTCCGATTTGGCCCAATCCAGATATCTATCCTTCCATAACAAACTGCAGAACTTTCTGAATCTTCTCGTTTCAAACCTTGCTTCCCCCTTGATCCCTGATAATCCTCCGAGGCGTCTGAAAAGAAGATGGCCTCGGGACCTTCTAATATAGAACTTTAATTTGAGTTCTACCAATGGGTAGTTTCTCTTTATGTTGTACATGTCATGTTACCAATGTCACATTTACTTATTGTATTTTCCATCTAATACAGTTGTAAATCTCAATAAAATAAAAAATAAAAATAAATAAGTAGATATTAAATAAGAAACAATTGACTAATAAAGAAATAATACGATTTCTTTATCTTCTTATTATTTCTTTATCAGGCAACTGTTTCTTATTTAATATCTACTTATAATTAATTTATTTTATTTTCACCTTGTACCTTTTATATTTTGTATATTTTGTAGCCCTGATGAAGACCTGCAAGGTGGGTCGGAACGTCGGCGTAGCAGTTAAAAATACTATTTTTTTAAAATTTAGTATTTATTTGACCGCACTTCCCGACCAACTCCTTCTCATATTATATCACGGTCTTGGGGTGCTGTGAATTGTTCATTTCTGATTCATTCAGTACACTAAAAAATCATATCACTAACCAAAAATCTTGAATTATTATTGTTACAAGGTGAAGATAAGCAAATACACCTAAATTAATAAGAATAAATCAATTTTTGAAAATTCATCCACTCGTGTCTTCAATTATTTTTTGATATAAATAATCTTTCTGAAAAAATTTAAATACACAATGATGTATTGATTTTATTTTAATGTAGGTGGTCGATATAATTGGAATGGAAAAGAGAATGAGAGATCTAAATTGTGTCGATGTATCCCCACCCGACTCACCTTTGCAATCTGTGAGATCCAGAAGATTGCTTGCTAGACCAGAACCAGATCTAGGAGCACTTTCTGACTCTGAACTTCCTTGGAGGCAAACATACTACAAAGATGCCAACAGCAATAACGCTAAGGTAAAAAATTATTTTGAAATATTCCACTTTAACTTCTATAAGAGAAAACAAATTAGTTAGTTTATTAAGGAAATTAGGAGTTTCTTTATCTGTAAATTAAAATTATTATTCAATACATGAAACCAATATGTAATTTGAAGCATAATTATTATTTTACTCTTTAGTAACATTTTAATGTTCATGAAATCTTATTAACTTAGCTCTAATGTAAAACTATCTGCACTCTATATTTAATTTGATAATGAATGTAGATGTAGATTACAAATAATAATCTGCTGCGAGGTTCTCAAAATTTGAAAGCCCAATCATTAATTTTATAATTTATTGTAATCAGTTTAATTTCCTTAAAAAGTATTCTAATAATTGCGTTGTAAGCATACAATTGTCAAAAATTATATGCATTCTAAGAAGATGAAGGATTCTGATATTCAAGTTGATATAACCACAGACTAGCAATTAAGAGATTTAAATACCAATTCTCAAGCAAATGCCTGGTCTAAAGTGTTAGAAAAATGCTGCACTATTATATCTGTAGTTAATTTGAGAGACCTTGATGTTGACTATGAGAAATTTTGGCCTGCCATCAACCTAGAAAGATATGTTTTGAGTAAAATATGAGACTTAATTCAACCTGATGAATCGAAGTACAACTTGAAAAAGTACTGAAAAAAAGAACAGTAGCAATGAAAAGAAAAGAACCTACATCATATGAAACTGAACATTCCAAAGATGCAAACTATTCAGAAACTTGAATCCAGAGCCTAAGTCAGATCTTGATCTAACCAGTGCAAATCAGAATACTGGAGCAGTCATATCAACACCTATTATAGTATGTTGGATGAAGAATAACTTCCCTCCCCTTAGAATCAATGTTGTTATATCATTGTTATGACTTTACAATCATGAATTTTTTAATTGTTTCATTTGTATACTTAATTGTACATTTTAGTATGTTGCATAACTCCTATGTTTTAGTTGATATTTGAAAGAATCTACTAAACCACTAAAGAATAGTTTATGATTATCAATCACCTGTTATAAAAACATTATTGTTAAAATTACATGTGTTAATGAGACATAAATTTTCTGTTTGTTTGACTATTATTTATGTTAAAATCTTGTTTCTATGGATTATTTATTTTTGTTCTTGCTAAAAATTAATTTTATTTTATGTATAAGTTTTGACAAATGCATTTTCAAGTAGCTCACAACTGTATGAAGTAAGAGTTAAATATTGCTAATGTTATGTAGTAAATCTGGGGCTCCCAAACTAAAGTTTCTTATTGTTTTGTTATTTGACTATGCAGAACACAAGAATAAAATGAAGCAATTGAAATATAATTTCAAAATCCTCTATTCTCCTAGAAATCCTCAAAATCCTTGGAAAATTCTCTTCTGAACAAAAATGTGATGTTTATCCCACAGAGATATTTTTTATCATTATTCTTTTTTGATTATACATAGGGAAATTTTTTTGCTTTTTATTGTTAACTTCTTAGATATATATATATTTTGATAGATAATTTTAAATTCATAGATCTATCATTTTTTTTCTTCCTATTTTAGGCCTAGGAATATAATCTATATTTGAATGCATACCTTAATAATTGATATATATATTTTAATATAAGTGCAAAGCTTGCTCTGCAGGGTCCTCCAAACTACTGCCCATGAAATTTTTTTTTTATTGCATTGTAAGTTTTTAAAAAGTATAAAATTTAGTAAATCATTCAAACACAGGGTTACTACAACATTTATTGCATGAGTCGTTTCTATTAGGAGCCCCAATTCACAACACAAGTGTCATTTATAGAACAAGATATTTTTTTGTTCGTCACAAGCCATAGCCCACGGGGTCTAGAGGAGGTCTGAATGCGGCTCACGGGATTAAGTGGAGGTCTCAATGTGGCCCATGGGCCAAAAAGTTTGGATACCCCAGCTCTAAACAAAAGGAGGACAAGTTAATTTAAGCTAGGCAGCCCTCACCTTTATTTCATAAGTAGTTTCTTTATAAATCTTGAAATCCTGTCAACCCATTTGTCCCTGTTAATCCCGAAATCCCGAGAAATCTCAAATTAAAGCTGTACAATCCTATGATAAAGTCAGTTCTAATATATTGCTGTGGAACCTGGACACTAACCAGCACTCTAGAAAAAAGTGTTAAAGATTTGAGAAAAAAATCCTCCACACAATAACCGGAGGGTCTGGGATCAGAGTACTAACACATGGAGAAAAAAGACCAATAAAGAACTGCTTACTCGTCATATGAATGCATGAACGTTAAGATGGGCGGGGTATGTAGCTCGTAGCAATCCATCAAGAAGCCTCTACGTAACAATGAATGCCTCAATAGAAGGTACAAGACCACTTGGAAGGCCAAAAAGCAGATGATAGATAAAATCTACAAAGATGCAATAGAGCGCATGCTGATAAATGGATAGAAATAGCCCAAGGCAGGCAGAGATGGAGCTGGCTTGTTAAGGTGGCAAAAGATCTACATGGCTTAAAATGTCAACAGAAAAAAAAAAAAATCATCATTGTACATTATTTTTATATTTTAATAAATAATCAGAATGAAATTACATTTAACAAATTTCTTTTAGGTGCTCGATTTTACTGATATTGAGAGGAGAGGTGGCAGTTGTAGGGAGCGCTTGTCACCGTCTTCAAGAAGTGTAAGCCTTACAAACACTCCTGACAGTAACACGTTCCGAACGAGGCCATTCAGGAAACCCCCTGGTAAGAATATTAACTTTTCAATTAATTTTAAATAGTAATTTTTAAATAAATAATTTTAATTTTTAATATAAATAATTTTTATATTTCTTTAATTATTAATGATCATTTCAGCATGTGAATATATTTTTATTTATTTACTGACATCACAGAAGAAAAATTTCATATTTATTAATGGATGTTTCAGAAATAACAGTGTTCAAAGAAAATGATATTGAAAGTGCCGAAAGTAGCAGTGCTATAGCAGATAGTGATAGTGACACACCGAAACAGAAGTAAGTCTACTTTCATTGTAGTACTGTATGTTCTCAACCAACATTAGTATTTTAGATTTAAATTAATTTAAAAAGAAAAATGTTGAACTTTAAATAAAGTTATGTATACAACCTTCTGTTTTGCGGGGGTCTTGCTAATTTACACCCTTGAATTTTAGTTTTTAAAAATCAAACCCCAGTTCTGGATAAACTTTTTGAGGGTGTTTACTGCTGATGGGAATTCGGGAACCTAATTCTTTATAGCCCAGTAACCTTGTCATGAAAAGGAGAGTCTAAGTTGCATCGAATGAGGGAAGGTTGTTTTTTTCTTGTATGGGATGTTGTTACTGAGATGCAAAATCGAAGGTTTCAATCTCAGCTTCACTTCACTGCCCCCGGATCACTTTTGAAAATCCCAAAACTACTACATTTTCACATTTTTGTTAGAATTATCCTCATTTTGACCATGAAGGAGGACGTATTCGACAAACAATATTCTATAAATTTTTAAACTTGATTAAATATGCTACAATTTAAGACCAAAATAGGTTCGGTAAGTATAATAATTTTTGAGATATAAGTTTTCGGTTTTGGAAATTTTTCGAACTTGAAAATTGTATGTTATTTTTCATGTTTGATCATACGCAATTGTGTTTATGTTTTAAATAACCTGACTTATATGATTCAGTGAAGTAAGTTTTTATTCATGTTAACATTTTGAAGGAGGGGGGAGGGAGGGATCACTTTTCACAAACAGAAGACTGAAATCGAAATTTAAAAAAAAATTTAACAAACATTTACATCAAGTGCATACAAAAATTGTAAATGAGTTGAATGAAATTTTCAAAACTTAAAAATGTTAAGCTAATTGTCATGTCCATGTCTTCAATAACTTGCTTTAAAAGAGTTAGAGAAGTAAACATTTATTTAATTTATTATTTTGAAGGAGTAGGATACATGGATATAGGAATGGCTCTAAATAATAAAAGATAGAAACCCTATGTTGATTTATATACATCTAATATTTTAAGCTGATTGATAAAATAAGTGAGCTAGAATGCCCTTAGTCATTTATAGCATTCGATCGTCTTCCTAATAAACCAGCAGGCAACATAAAAAAGCATTTACTGCACCTTTCAAAACTCTCCTCAACTCATAAATTTAATTTAAGAGACCAGTGTTAGGTATGGGAACAAATCATAGCAAAAGATATAAATATTTAAAATATATATAATAATACGGAGAAGAAAAAAGTGCTAGAAAAAAATAAATCTGGGATTACTGTTGAGAAAATCCAAAATTTATGAAAATATAACAAGAAACTGATGGAAACATTATTTGGTGGAAGAAATATGTAATAGACAAATGAGGTGAGTAGCACTATAACTATGCCATTTATGAGAACCACCAGTCCACAAGACACCAGTCCCACTTTTCCGCTGATTACGTGCATTTTCTAAAGAACCGTTTCAAATATGTTAAAAATTAACCAGTGATTTAAAAAGATAGATGTTTTGTTTCAGGGCATTTTTCGTTATTGTTTGCCGTTTAATTACAAATGACACTTGATTTTAAACTTTAATTTGAATGACTTGGAAATAATTGACTTCACCAATATTTTTTTATTACTTAGGCCAATTATTGTTTAAAATTTTTTGATGTATTATTATTCTCTGACTATCCAGCTTTAACAAAAGACCAATTATGACAAAATTAAGCCAACTGCTAAATCTTTGTGACTGAAAAACTATCTCAAATCTAAGTCCTTTTGGGAAAGTGTGACCACTTTTTTTTGTGGGAACATTGGATTTTTTTTAATATATATTTACAAAGAACACAACAATATTCAATTTATAGTGATGTGAGAGTAGGGTGCATAGTAGGAGGGTCTAGCCCAGGGACTTCCCTCTCCCGCCAAATCTTTTTCTCCCTCCATCACTCTCCTTCAAAATGCTAAAATGAATAAATATTTACTTCACTGACTCATATAAGAAAGGTTATTGAAGAGAATAGACAATTGCATACTATCAAACATGAAAAATAATTTAAATGGTAAATAAGATTTCCCAAACTTTGAAAACCTGTATCCCATATACTATTAATTTACCAAGGCAGTTTGGGTCTTATATTGTAGCATACGTAATCTTGTTTAAAAATGTATAAAATTGTTTTTGTTGAAAACGTTTTAGTAAATTGTTATGAAACAAGATTTATTTTTTTAATATAACTTGTATATTAGTAAGCAATAATTCTTTACTTTTACTTGTTGTTTTTTTTTAATTTTTCAATCCTTAATGAAATAATAGATTTAATTTATTAACAATAAAAAAAATCAAAATATTACTACATGGTTAAAATATGTAATATTATTTAAGATTTATTAATTTTTCTTGTATGATTTAGGGGTGTAGTAAGATGGCACAGTTTTCAGCGAGGGTCAGTACGACCGGAGTCATACCTTGGACAGCCAGTCAGCTCCATGTCCAGTGGGCAGCTGATGGTTCTTAGGAAACTAGCGCTACTTAAGCTTACTGCCATTATGGAGAAGCATTGCCCTTCTCATAGAACAGGCTGGAACTGGGAACTTCCCAAGTTCATGAGGAAAATGAAAAACCCTGACTATAAAGGTAATGATTAAACTTGGCCTTGCATAAATTTAGTTCTTGTGTAAAACAATCCATAGTGATATTGTATCTACGATTCTCAATAGTTCATTTTTCCCAAATCAATTTGTCCTTTTCCATCAATTTATGATATATTTTTTAGTGTTTTAACAGTATATCTATGAAACCTTATAAGTCCCATTTTTTATTAAAATAAAGGTTTTGCACTTCACAAATGAAACAAAAGTTCGATATTAATTGGAGTTTGGCATCTTATGTTTTCTCTTTTCTATTACTAGCTTTAATAACTTGTAAGTTCAGAGGAATAAGTTTTTATTTCTCTCCTGAAAAGCAATGTCAAAAGAATTTACAAGGTTTTGCAGATTTATTTTCGATTTACATTTATTATTGCTACATAGTTATTAATGTAAAATAGTTACTTCCATAAAATCTCCATTGCTGTTGCTGATGGAACTGTAATGGGCTCATATCAGAAATGATTTTCTGTAAGAAAAAAACAATGGTAAAACTTTCTCTTAGTAATTTTCTCTGTTAAGTAATATTTATCAGCTAGCTGACTATTCAAATGAGAGAAGATCTTATCTTTTTTCACAAATAACAGAAAATCAATTAATAAATAATAAGTATCCTAAATACAACATTAAAATAATAAGGAAATCAACAGTATCTCTGTTTCTTTCATATGATTTGACAATGTTTCATTTCCTGTAACTATTGGAGGTTTTTATGATAATTTTTAGGCTAAGGGCAATATAATATTACAGTTATATATTTTCATTATATCCTTTGTTTATTAAGCTTTCATATCTCAAATAAAAATATATTACCTCTGTAACTGTAAAAGGTAAACACTATCTTACTAGCTATCTATCTTTCACTATGCATATAATAGTGAAGCACCATTCCATTGAGGATTGTCTGCAATATTAATATAAATTTAAATCATCAAAACCACTTTTAGAAAAGTAACTTATTTGATATTTTTATAATTACTATCATGTTAATATTTAAATATGCTATCTTAAAACTTGACTAGTTGAAAGATCCAATTAATATTCTAGAATATTAAACTATTGTATAAAGTTATGTATGTGTTTAAGACAGTTTATTTTCATTTACGTAACTTTAACTTTCTGTATCTTGATGATTTTATCATTTTACTTAGTATGCATACTTGGTTTAAATGGGTGCTTACAGTTCTACTGTCATCAGTTTTTTTTGTTCTAAATTTATATATTTTACATTTATTGTGATATTTTATCTCATTATCAATATTAAACTATTAATTATTTCTGTATGTGCAGACAAAACAGTATTTGGCGTCCCTTTAGCTGTTACACTTCAAAAAAGTGGTCAACCTCTTCCTCTATGTATTCAGAGTGCACTCAGTTGGCTAAGAAGTAATGCTCTCGACCAGGTAAGTATTTAGAATATAAAAATTATATTTTTCCCTCAATGCCACATACAATTTATTTATATAAATATTGTTGTGCTTTATCTTAGGTGGGTCTTTTTCGCAAGTCTGGTGTAAAGTCAAGGATAGAAAAACTCAAGTCACAAGCAGAAAGTGGTGACGAAATGGTATATGAAGGCCAGCAAGTATTTGATGTTGCTGATATGGTGAAACTTTATTTCAGAGACATTCCAGGAAAGCTGCTAACTGACAAGCTGTCTGAGACATTCATTGCCATCTTTCAACGTGAGCAATATCATTCAAGTAATATTTGAATTAATTGCTAAAACTAGTTAAAAGTAATAAAATATTGAAATAATTTAAATTTCTTCTTGTGTTTTCTTTTGTTGGGAAGTTTTTTTTATTTTACTGATGAATAAGGCAATTATAACTTCCTTGTGACTGTCACATATTTTTATTTATCATATTCTTTTACATATGTTTAAAATTTCAGAAAATGTTTCACATCATCAGAAATATATTCACTATTGTTGGATCTTTCTTTGTGTGTTCTCTTCATTGTTAATAAAATTAGTTTATTATTAATCTGTAGCTAAACATAGCCAGGGGCAACATACATGTTCTACAAACAATTTGTTGCATATTGTATATTGTATATATGGTAAAGTTTAAAGATATTTTACTGATGGTATATTTTCATTTATGAACTGTGGGTTGACAGTTGCTCATACATTTTAACAAGATTTAAATCTGAATTCTCTAGAGGAGTTTATATTTATTTGGATAATTATGTAGCAGCCATTGCAGTTTGGAGAGAGTTAGGGGCTAAGGGTTATTATCCTGGAAGAATTTGACTGTTCATTCTAACATTAGATAAATATTTAGTTAAGAATTGGTTTTATAGATTTTTTTTATTTCCAACCAATGCATGTATGAAAACTTTTGTTGGCCAATATATGTTGCTCAAGACTATGTTTAACGACAGATAAGTAATAGACAAATTTTATAAAATGATAATAAGATCACAACAACAACAAAAAATAGCGAATATGTTTCTGATGATGCAAAAACATTTCCCTGAAACATTAAACAAATGCAAAATAATGCAAAAAAAAATACTAATAAAACAGCCACAGAAAGTTTTAATGTTATATGGTTAATAATAAATTTTATAGATAATACTTAGAAATTTAAAAATATAATAAAAGTATTTAGTAGGAAAATGAGAATTAATAATATAAAGTACTCTTTGATTGTAGATGTTCCAGTTAATTTGAGAGTTGAGGCTGTGAAGTGTGCATTACTGTTGTTACCTGATGAACATAGAGAAGCGCTACATGCCTTGCTTGTCTTCCTGAATGAAGTTAGTCCTATTTATTTATTTATCAATTTGTAAAAGTTTGAAAATTAGATTCAGTTGTTGTTAGTAACATTATATTATCTTTTTGCTTAGTGAACGCTTAGATTTTGAAAACGTTGGAAGTTAGTTTGTCTTAGCCACAAGACATTTAATTTTAACAGTTCATAGTTATATTTCTATGAAAGCAAGAAGTAAACATGGATCCAATCCAAGCATAAATATTTCATATTACTTTTTTTTAGGTAGCATCACATTCCCCTACAAACCAGATGTCAGCTTCCAATTTAGCACTCTGCCTAGCACCAAGTCTCTTTCCCGACTACACTGCACCATCTAGACCTGCATCTCCACGTCGAGGAGCCCCTGATCCTAGGCAGCTGGCACATAACAAGGCAGCACACGATTGTCTATTAGCTTTAATAAAGAACCACAGAGAAATGTTTACAGTAAGGAATATTTTTAACAAATATTTAGCTTGTGATTAAAAGAGCTACTTATAAAAAGTATATAATTCAGGAACAGACACTGGTAACTGAGGCATCTTTTTTAATCTTAAAATTATTATTTTTAAAAAATGAACTAACTAAACGGATATTGAAAGTTAGAAAATAGAATCCTCGAATATTACTTTTTTAATTTATAAAACTTGTTTTTTTTTATTCAAATAAAAAATTTAATGAGTACGGATATTGTTATGGAACATTCTAAATAAAAAAAAAATATGAGCATTTATAATTAATGAAAAAAAATTTGTTTGCAATATACTGTAGCCTAAAACATTAAATTTACACACATTACATAACAGATATGAGTCTTTACTATTTAAATAATCTAAAGTAGACATATTTCACATTGTATGATTATTTACATTTAGTGCTATTTTTTTTTTTTAATTTAATTCATTTAATTTTAAATTTCAATTATATAAAATCCATGACATCCTTTTGAAAGGCAAACTTTCAAAGTCATATTTAGTGATACTAAAGAATTATATCAATCAGACTTTTGTAATTCACTTAACTTTAATTATAAATTACACCACTTTTTTATTTAAGAAGCTACTTAAATATCTTCATGAACTTAATAGTACCTGTTTCATACTTAGCCTATTAAACAAAAGAAAAATGGTACTGCAAAGCTAATTGCACCATTACAGGTCACTAATGTACTGATAACTGAAATTCTATGTTATAAAGTTACATTTAATTTATTGAGAAGTATAAAATTATACTACACATAGTTATATGATGAAATAATAATGATTGTTTTATAGGTCTGTGACGAACTGCTGGCACAATGTCACTTCTCATATATGGAGCAGAGCGTGCCAGTTGCTCTAGAAGAGCTAGGCTCAGAGCTGGCCCAGGACTGGCGTGGCTATATGTACGCATGCACTACTGCTCTCCTTAAGGAGGCTAGGGAAAAGTAAGTAAGCTCTGATTAGGGATGTCTTAGAAAAATTAAAAACCATCTCTAATATATCTTTTCATATGATCTTCCCGAAACAGTGAAAATTCTGATACAATATTACTTTGCTACATTTCCACAAATTTTTTTCTGATAATTTTGTTTTTTTTTTACTCTTATTTTTTGTTTATTTTCTTTAAAAGAGGTCTGTGGACAATTTAGCTGTCCATATATTTAGCAACTGCACAATCAGACCATAATTAGCATAAATATAGCCTATTAAAATTTGTACTCACATTTTTTGCAATTATATTATTTATAAAAATAAACCAATAAATGAGTTATCAACCCAAGGAAAAATATAGGTAAGTTAAAGTAAAAAATATAACTCCTCTCTTTTACAATGTATTGTTTTTGTTTATTTTTATATTATATTAAAATTTGATCAGCGACCAATATACTATGTGAATCATTCTCATGGGCTAACTAGTATAGTTATATTTTTAAATATTTATAAAAAAAAAAATTGTAATTTGAAAATATTTCTTTTTATGTTTTAGCATATATTAAATTATTTAACTTATTTTCAGGACTAGAGGCTGGATAGCAGTAGCTACTGGCCAAGAGGGTGTTGAAATGTGGTACAAAAAAGTTGGAGATGGTCATCCTCTGAGGTTATGGCGTGTCATGACTGAAGTTGAAGCTCCTCCTACAGAATTACTGCACCGGTAATTTTGTTTTTAATCTGGAATAAGTTTTTGTAATTGCTTGAAATATGCTTGACTACCCCAAATAGGCTAAGATGGAGAAACCTGTTTCAGAATGCTTATTATCTCTTCAAATGGTGGACCACATTTGTTGCTTTTTTTTAATATGGTTTCGGCCATCAATTTCTGTGTGCCTATTCATAAAGTAATAATAATAATTATAAAAGAAAATAGTGTTTTTCTATAGACTGTAATAGCAAAATGGCTCTAACGATTTTGATGAAACTTGTCTACAGTCTTTGGCTTCAAGCCTTTTTAATTTGTGTATATAAGGTTCAGCTAGAGCTGAGATCTAGAAAAATCTGGAATCATTCTATATATTTCAATGCCTTCATAAATAACGACAATAACCTTACGTATAATAATCTTAAGCCCTATTGTATCCTTACGTATCATTTTTAAATAATCTTAAGCCCTATTGTATCCAGGCATATTTGATAATTGGTAGTTAAGTTAATATTTTTTAGATGTATGCTTCAATATGTTTTTATAGTTATATATATATATTCATGTTACAGAATTCTAAGAGAGAGAGAGACATGGGATCCTAGTCTGGTCAAGTGGCGTGTTGTTGCTCGACTTGATCCCAATGCTGAAGTTTTTCAGTTCCTTACTGCCAGTGTTCCTCCTACTCCTCACAAAGATTACTGTGTTTTGAGGTAATTTTTTGTTTTATTTTCTTAAATGTTTTTTCATTAATTAAGTTTGATTTTTGGCTTGTTATGAAATTTAAATATTATTAAAACTTTCGTAGAAGTCCTCAGAAAAATATCAATAATAGCAGCAATAATGAGTTTTCTTGGAATTTTTTTTTATTAAAAGAAAACCTGTGCCACTACAACCCATGAAGGGTCAGGTCTTCGGTTGAGTGCTTTGTAATTAATTACTGTTTCTTGGTTAATGGTTGTGAAAGGAGGTGATTAGACTGAAATTTCGCTTAACTACCAGGTTTTCCCCTTTAATTAATTTAGAATATCCACTTTATAGAAGATGGGTATGCCCAGAAGGATCTCCTAACTCCAGGATCGTTCCACTGCCGATGTAACAGAATAAAAAATTACCTGCCATGAGAAGGATTCGAACCTGGTACCTTGAGCTCTGGAAGTCAGTGCTTTGAATTACCTGGCTCCCTTTTAGTCTTGTGGCTTTTTATTTGATGGTATAATGTCTAGGCTATATGGAGGATGAAGCAAAATGTTTACAGCTTGCAGTTCTGATAATTTTTTCTTGTTCAAACAAGAAAGATATGCAGGTACTTTGGACTCAAAACTGCATACACTCTGTCAGTCTGTTCACAGTAAAGATTTAATTCCATTCTACGACCATTAGGAACACACTTTAAAAATGTCCGTCTTCAATGGTAAAAAACGCCTTCAAAGTTCTGTCCGACACAAAGCATCACTTTTTTCCCAAACAGATCTAGGTGAACCTCTGGTTTTGCAGCTTCACCTGGCCATACCGACTGCTTATGTTTATTAGGATTTTTTTTAAATATCCATTTCTTGTTGATTGTGATCATTTTTTTCCCGAACCTGTCATCTTTTGGAAATTTATTGCGACTAAATAATCATATAATATAATTAAATTAGTGATTATATATAATTGATCTATTATAATGAAATATATTTTTCCAGATGTTGGAGGACAGAACTTGCAAAAGGAGCTTGTGTAATTGTTGAAACTTCAGTTGAACACCCTGAAGGCCAAGTTTTATCCGGAGGAGTTCGTGGCATTGTCCTGGCCTCCAGGTACCTCATTGAGCCTTGTGGTTCTGGCCGGAGTAGAGTAGTCCATCTCTCTCGTGTTGATACAAAGTATGTTTTCAATGTATAATAATTTCAATAGGGTTATGAAGTACCATTGCTAAAATAATCAAAGTAATATACTTATATTTTTGTGAACATTTATATTTTTGAGAATTTATCTTACTTATATTTTTGAGAATATTAGAGTAAAAAAGGATAAATAATTTCTCTTCAATTTATACACTGTATTATTTATCACAATAATAGAATGATAAAGTATCATGGATAAATAACTAAAAAAATACATTTATATATTTGAGAAAATTTAATAATATTTTTTTTAAAAATAAATAAATCAATATATTAAAAACTTACAGTTGACATTATGAATTGAGATATTAATTCCAAAATTCTGACACTTAAACACATATATTTAAAAGATAAGACATATGTAATTTTATTATATACCATTATATTTACTATTGGATGTGAAGAGTTTTGGTACTGAAGACTCACCTCTCCTCATCAAAAAAGAACATACTATTTTTTTTTCCATTGATAGATATTTGTTTTAATGACTGATCTGACCCTTTTAGTATTTAAACAATCATAAAATGAAAATAATAATAATAATAATAATCATAAGAGTAAAAGTAAATGTGGAATAAAAATGTAGTTTCTAAAAATAAATTGTCAAAGTACTCCATGTTTTTTTATGTCATATATTTATAATCTTACATTTTTTATAAGGCTAATTTAATGATTTAATTTGATATTTTTAGAGGAAGAACTCCTGACTGGTACAACAAAACATATGGCCATATTTGTGCCCTACACCTCTCGAAAATAAGGAACTCCTTTAAGCACACAGCTGGTGGTCCAGAGAGTAAAGTATGATATAGATCACGATCCCTCTCCATCGATGATGCCGGAGAGGTGAAGCGCATAGGAAGCGGATTATATAATTAACATAAATGCACTCTCAATATAGCTGAGTGCATTGGATAACAGTGTGTATTTATTTTTTATTGGCTTTAAAAGTCATAAGCGCCTTTTTTTTTAAGAATAAAAAAGGTGTGTACCATGTACCTGTAGATATTGTTAAATATGTGAATGAGTATTTTAATCTGAGAATGTAAGAGTTTTTTGATTTTTAATATGAAGCATAGTATGAATTAATATTGTTGATATGTGGAATATATATTATATATATAAATGTATTTTTGTACAGTGTAAAGTCATTTATTATATTTGAAATGAATAATTTTATGATTGTATTAAAATACCAAAAAAAAAGTATTTTATTTACAAACAAAATCATTATAGTTGTTGATAATCAATATTATTTTTTAAATTACTCTACCATAGTTTAGTTTGATTGTTGGGCGATTAAATTTAGAAGACAGTCTAGTCATTAGTTTTTCTTACTAATTCTTTTGTTTGATTTTGTTTATTACATTTAATAATTATAATATGGCTTGAAGGAGGTTTAATTTGGTAGCTGAAACATTCTCTGTTAACTTTTTAACTACATGAATGGCCAAAATTCTGTATTTTCATAAGGTGTAACTTCATTGTAATTTTGTAGTTTTTTGCAGAAACTCATAACAACAGTTTCAATCTGAAGCCTGAAAATTGGTACCATTTTACTTTTAAAATTTTATATTTATGTTGTTTTATCCAAGTAATTAAAATATGTTTGTATTTTTTTTTTTACAAAGAAGTACTAAACAAATCTGAATTTTTTCTTTATCCATTTTAAGCCAATAATAAATGATGTTCATAGGTCCTATCAGCGATTGTTAGTAGTCATTTTATTGTATAGCTCTTTTAATTTTCAAAACTTCAATAATTTTTTTTCGCAACGTAAATTCTAATAGGTTCTTTCGCAGCTGCGATCCTCCTATTATTATCTGATTAAAATTACTTCACATTAATATAAATAACAAGTATTAAAATAAAAAAAGATTATCTAAAAAATACAATTATTTAGAAGCTAATAATTTATTTACTCTATGGCTCTCTACAATGTAAAATATTTTATATTCTGTGTTTTACTAAAACCAAGATCCCTAAATGGTATGGATGAATTTTTTTTTTTTTTTAATACAGTGGATTCTTACTATTATAGTTGACTCTCAATAACTTGAATCTCAAAGGCAAATGGAAATATTTAAGTTATTAAGCTTTTTGACTAACCAATATTTTGAGGTATTGAGGTCAAAAATAACTAACTTCAACATAATGGACTTCAAATGTACTAAAAACATATTCAACTTTTAAATAGCCAAGTTCATTAAACTTTTATACATTCCTCCGCAAGCAGTAAATAAATAATAATAAACATAGAGTATTAAACAAAAAGATCCTTATTCATTTTGTGATTAATGCATTACATATTTATTCATATACCTATTTTATATGTACATTCAATAATTCATTTTTTAAACTTATATTGCTTATTTTTCCTTAAAATGTTTTCCTAAGAAATATGGATTCTTCTTTAATAAAACAGAATTGTATCTTCAAATGAATAACTCTACTTATACTCTGGAATGCTTCCTTTTTCTACGGAAGTTTAGAAAAACTTTCATTCACTTTCAATGATGTTCAATTATTCTATTACTTCATACTCATTTTTTCCTAACCCACATACTTGAAATAGATTAGGAAAATACATTGTTGTTAAATTTCAAATTACTGCTACTGTAATGATAACGTATGACCTTTCAAAAACAGGACTTCTGTCGACACTTGGAAAAGGATAATGATTTAAATAGTTTTCCTGATCTTGTCGACTTTTTAACAAAATTTCCACTTCCCATGATCTGCCCATCATGTGTAACCAGTATAATATTACATCATTTAGCAGTTGAATAAATGTATTGTGAAGATAATAGGTTTATGATTATAACCAGAACTAGTTATTTATTTATACTCATAAACCATGTTATAGCAAGGATCCACTGTATTAATCTTACAATTTGTTCTTTCAGTTGTATTATTTCGTTGTTTAATTTAAATGATAAGTCAGTATTTTTAAATAATGCAACTTTGTATACAAAAAACATTATACAATATTTACTTGTGAACCTCCTTGTGAAAGTGTATAGTATTCAAAGCTTCCTAATTGCACAGTGGTTAGTAAAGATGATTATCACATGGTGGTTTGACTGTGTTTACCCATTTTTTAAAAAATTAACTTGTGTCAGTAAATTTGTCATTGGTGCTGTTATTTTCAATTCAGAAGCCAATTAAACTTGTATTTTTGCCCATTGAATAGAACCTCAGGGATATTGTTTGTGTATATATTTATATATAGGTTTTCATTTATATATTTTATTAGGTTATCAAAAATAATTATGAATTCCTCTCATATCATAAAATATTTTTTTATTTAAATTTACAATCTGTTGGAAGTGTTCATTAAATTACTGTGTACTGTATTCAGTTCCATTCAGTTCACTGTAGTCATCAGTAATAATTTCTCTTAATAGTGGATTTGGAATCCTCTGTAACTTATGATCATAATGTTCACTATCCTATATTTAAAAAAAAAAAGGTATGTTTTCTGTGTCATTGATGTTTTATTGATAATGGACAGAAAACACATTATGCAAATAAAGTACCCTAGTTGTTGAAAAATATCAAATAGGAACAATAATATGCGATATGAAATTGTTCATCAGTCATATTATCTTTTTGGATGTAGTTTTATTATAAATAATATGATAAAAGATATGTGTATGTAAGAGATATTTTTATTGTAATTTATATGATATGTGTATTGTTTATATTAATATCTATTGGACTTGAAATGCAATTTTATTAACTTTTTTTGTGTGTATATATCACATATTGGCAAAATCTATTATTTAGATATCACATATAGTCTGTTTATTTTTTAAATGATCTTAAAATTTAAAATGTTAATACTGTTAAATACTGCCCACCAAAGTTAAACCTAATACGAACTGCTTAAACCAAAAATAAAGTTAGTATTGTGAAACTTATTTATTTAATATTTTTTTCATTTTTGTTTTTCTACTTATAATACTTAAATCATGATTTTTTCTGTCTTAATTTAACAACTCACTAGTCATTGATTTATTTAGATTTATAGAAACTTACCCCTTAATATTATCTTAATGTGCTCATGTTTTTCCTAAAACAACAGCATTTTATGCTTAATCTCCAATATAGTTTAGCAGAATATTTCAGTCATACATAACAAAAAGAGAAACATAAGCAGCAACATTACTGATTTTAAATACTTCAGCTATTGAAAAACTAATATTTATTAACTTCATAATCATAACATTTTATCATTAGTCTTGATTCTTGTCAATAAGTATACATATATATTTTTTTTCAAGCATAAGATTATTCATAATTGTACTCTTATTGCAAAGCATGCTTTTTACAATAAACAACTTCTCTGTATTTTGTAAACAACTACTCTATATTTTATTACATAAACATTGAACTACTTGACACATTGCTTTGACAAAACTTCCTTTTGATGATCAGCTTCTAAATTTGAAAACTTTAATGAGAATCTCTGAAACATCTATCATATAAGCATTACTTAGTTGTGGTAATAATTTGTGAGCCTACCATGGCCAGATTTGAACTGGCACCGTTAGACTTAGGGTTACTAACATTATGACTATAACAATCTAGACCATCATGGCCTCAACTTGGTAGATATCATGTTGTAATAATCATCTATGATATGACAATTCGCAGCTAGTAGACATATATATCATACCATCATCAAACGATCCAGTTTTAGTGTTGTTATGAGATCACCTGCCACAACATGATAAAACACATCTACCATGCATTCATATTCATAATTTATTGCAGTGATTTTGTTTTTAGTATAATTTTGTTCTTACATTGTAAATATAAACCATTACAGATTTTAAAATCAAATATTATTTTATATAACTTACTTGAAATTATGAATGGAATATTTTAACAGTTCATAACAAATACAAATAGTTGACTAAGAAATCAACTTCTTGAATGTTGGTGATAAATTTTGTTGGGTAGCATTTTAATTCCATTCCGAATTCAAATTAATAGCCAATTCAAATTTTGTATATTTATAACATTTTTAGTCCAATTGATATCTTTAAATGTACAGAATACATGAACTAACGTTATTTGTGTACTATGTATTTACAAATTTAAACATTGTATAATTTCCTCGTGTAGATTATTATTAATTTAAGTTCTTTATACCAATTAATTGAATTTTTCAACTCATTTATGAATTATTTGTTCATAAATGCTATTTGCACATCTTTTATTACCTTTATTTTCATTTCTTCCCTCTTAAAAATTCTTTTATTGTTTACCTAATATTAGCTAAAATCTATAAATTTTTTCTGACCAAATTCAAAACCAGCAGGGACCAAGAACATTTGAAATGTTGAAAAATTCATTAATTTAATTTTTATACATTGTCTTACGAAGTAAAAAATATTACTACATCACATGAGACACATCACAAAAATTACTGTTTTGTTAGGACCAAGAGTTACCATTAATATTGGTTTTGTAAATAATTGATATTTATGAGGTTATATAAATATATAACAGTTGTTTATACCACTATTTGGAAAATATAAATGTTCATTATTTATTTTTTTATCTTATTTTTATAATATGAAGAAATACTCCCTACCCTGTTTCAATTGTCTTCATGACCATATTGCAAAGAATGAACTAATCTTAAATTATAATTTCCAAAAAAAATTCGTCTTCATAAATTTGAGTACTCCATTCCTGTCTAAAGCACTAAAAGACAATTAAATCCACTGGTTTGGTGCTCCAAACCTGAATATCTTAATTAATATTGTACCAAAAGTCCTCAGTTTGGCCAAATGTTAAAAGCTAAAACCCTCCATTAAAAAACCTTGCTTTTTTTTTATTATACTTCCTTCTGAAGACTCTAATTGCCTGAAAATAGGTAATTTTTTTTCCTGAAATTTTCTTCCATAAATTGCGGGGTTGGACCACATCACCTTTCGAGGAGGTTGGCTCTATAGTTGATTATTTTTGCCTTTGCCAAAACTTTTGAGGGAGCACATTTTGATGGTATTTTGAATTTTTGTGGGAAGTATATTGTTGGAATGAAAAGTTTCTAACCAAGGGACAAGTAGTGGAACACATGAAACATACCATAGCAATTGTATACCATCTATGTTTTTTGCTTCCTCACTACCGAAGGTAGGGAAGCATTGTATTCGTGCAAGAGATTAAAATAAATATTGTGCTCAGAATCAAAAATTTCCACTCGCATTTCAAACATCAAGGATCAAATTTGGTTCGGTGTCTGTCGGTCTTTTTTTGGGGGGTCCTTCCCTTCCTCACTTTTAAGGCTATACGGGGCTTGTGAACTGTGACTATTTTTATCTTGTAATGCCATGTATCATGTTGCCGGGCAACGGCGGTACCATGCACATACGTTAGCCCATTCGGCTACCCCGCCCACATGTGTCTGTCTATAATCAAATAGATGTAACGGGCATATCAACTACTACCGTTCATTTGATTTTCATGGATTGTGTGGATTGGTTCAACTTTGGAGGGAAGTTAGGGATTGGTTAACAGATAATTGTATAAGTATCAATTTCATCAAATTCTATCCACTCTAAAAAACAAATACTTATGCTTTCGGATCAGTAAACATATTGTTTCATATGTCTATAGTTTGGAAACGGCTCATTCAATTTGATCCAGACTTGGAGGAAATTCGGAGAATAGTTCAGAAATTTTCTAGTACCAAGTTCATTTAATAATTAAAATCAATATAAATAACTATTAATAATATAATGGCTGATTGGAGAGGGAGTTTCAGACCAAGATTTTATTTTTCCATATATATAAAACAATAATTACTTTTAAAAAAAAATAAGAAAGAAACTAACTAACCTATATGAAATGATGTTTAAGTGATTCTTGAAGTCCTATTGAATGTAATTACATGAACAATAATACTTAATAATTTTTTTTTTTTTTTTTTCGTAGTTATGTTTTAACATGTTGGGAGAGAGGTGGTACTTCAGCCTGAAAGCGATATCGTTATATTAATTCTCTGTATATTGCCTAATATAAACAACATTATTTATTTTTGAGATATTTAAATTTGGAAATTGATTCCTTATCAACAGTTCTCTCTTAGTTTTTCCTTGAAAATGGAGGATCAATTTATATTTAGTGTAAATCTATATTCAAACAGGTATGATAAATTGTATCTAACCTAAAATTTGTGAATTTAATATTTTTGCAGGCTAATAGCACAAAACATACCAATATAAATTGGCCTAATAATATTGTCTTCTGTCACAAGATCTGATATATGGTCCTAAAGAATAACTATGTAAGTCGAAAAGTGGTCTTCATGACTTAGTTTTATGTGTTGTGATCATTTTCCAAGTATTCTGCATACTGCGAAAAGGATTGTGACTCCAAAGTTCTCATTTAGACCTTGAAAAGATTTAGATCTGTGAGTAATATAATCTTTCAGCCTGTAGAAGGCTTCTGAAATTATCTCAAAACCTATAACTTATTAGGACAATTTTCTACTTACCAAATTATACTATGTGACAATTGAATTGCATATTCTTCTCATTATGGCCATACCATATAAAATAAATTTCATAACAAATTAATCAACTGAAAAGGAAAGATGAGGCCAATTAATATTCTTGGTGGGTATCATTATAATGTTAATTAAAATTTCAAATAGAGTTCCCCTACTGATTGCCTTTGAATAATTCACATTTGAGAGACTGATTTGTATTGAAAATGAGATATGTATTGATAAAATGATTTTTTTTTTCTTCACTTGTTGCCAAAGATCTAGTTTAATAAATTAAGAATATTTAATTAATGTTCAATAACCTATACATGTGGAAATAAATGAGAAAATTAATAAAGAAAGATTTTTTTTTATAAACAAATAAAATTAATTTATTAGTATAAAAACGAAGACCAGTTCCGAGTGTTGTTGAAAATATTACCAATTTTCTAAGAATATTAATTGTTTCCAATATAAAGTCCTACTAACTTTGATTTGAAAGTAATTAATAATGTTTATATTTTTAAATATTAGATGGTGTTTTTTTTAATTTATTTTGTTCTCTCATCGGCCCATGACTTTCATTGAAGTCAGCACCACCACCTCTATTAAATGAAGTCATTGTTTTATGGATCCGGGTGACATAATTGAGAAGATTGAGGATGAGAAAAGAAAGGAAGCAAATGACATTTTCATATACAAACTTTATCAAATTGAATAGTTAAATATTATTAACCAGATAGATTATTATGCTGTGTCACATATCTACTCATATGTAAACAATTTGTTGGGGTAGGGCTCAAGTCCCTAGTAGTTGGCGCCTATGCATTGAAACACCTGTTGCATTGTTGTATTTCTTCGTGTTGGAGTAACAATTGGCTTTTCTTATTACATATTTATGTAAAATTCATTGATGTTTATGAAATTTAAAGAAAAATTAAAAAAATAAACTAAAATGTTAATTGGATTTTACAGGTAGTCATGAAAGTAAGAAGCTAATGTTTATTTTGTTTATATTATTACAATTTAAAAGTAGGTTTTGTTTTTTTCTAAAAATAAATAATTTTAGACAGAGTTATAAATAAGTTTAATATGTTTAACATCTATTAAGAACATGACATAACTATTTTCTACTACATTGGCAAGTACTTGTTGGGTTTTGAAATAATTAAACTATTTTTGAAAAAGAATTTAAACAAGTCCGCTGTTCATAATTATATCTTACATTTATAAGAGATTTTTATTTTTCTGTACAACAACAATAAACATTATACACTTTAACTAAAAAATAAAAATATTTTATCATATAAAAATGATGAAAAAACAACAATATAGCACCTTTTAATAATCTAATCTTTTACTAAAAATCAATAATTTCTAAATACAAACAGTATTTACAAGGTAGCACTCAATTACACAACAAAAAATATAAAATATAAATTTGGCTACGAGCAAATTACCTAAATTAATTTTAAAGTATTTTTAACAATATAATACATGGTTTATAGAAAGTTATAATATATATAAATTCTGATGTTAATGATTTAAGACCATTAAAATAACGCTGTAAACTATGTTTAAAACAGTCCAAAATAATAATTCCATTTAATTTATATAATCATGTGGTTATTGTTACAGAAAAAATTGCACAGAATTAGATAAAATATTTCGCATATTTGATTCAGATTGTCTCTTGTTCACAAAAGCCTTTTTTGTTGATTTAATCATAATTGAAAGTCTCTCATGACTATCGATTTGAACTATAAAATATCTTGGTGAGAAAAGTGCTAGGCATGAACTGTTTTGGGCTTCCTGGCAGCTTCATTCTCTTGTGATATGTCCGTAATCCTCTTCCTTTTCCTAGGAGGGGGCTGTGCTAGATGAGTAGGTTGAGTTGGTTCAGTTTTTTTAGCACCCTCAAGATCAGACATCTTGAGTCCTGGTAGCGGCAATGGTATGGGAATGGGAATAGGTATTGGAAAGAATATGGGATAGGGAACAAGTGTGGTAGGAGGCGGCAAAAGACCAGGCAACATTGGTACAGGACGTGCGATAGGAACTAATGCTGGAACCTATGACAAAAAAAAAGTTTCTTAGAAATATTTCATATTGATCAGCTAAACTGGTAATCTCATCTGAAATTTACATGATATAAAAAGTGTATTTCCAATAGTATAAAATGATAAAAAATAATCTGTATAAAAATAAATTTTAATAATTACGTCTGGTTTTCTTCTCCAAGGTGGAGGTAAAAGAGGAGGTGGAAGAGGATGTAAGGGAATCCTTGGAGGTGATGCTATTCTTCTTTGACGTCTTCCTTTTTTCTTTGCTTCTTTCTGTTCAAATAATAAAAACTATATTTTAATTTTTAATACAATAACAAATAAAGCTTTATCATAAAATATACTTGTACCACTATTTTTGTGACTTTAAATTAGAAAATGTGTCTTTGTTAAGTCCAGAGCGATGCAAAAAACCCACTTTTGAAAGAAATGAAACTTTCAAGATTGATTAATTTTGGGTATGATTTTCAGTATGAGAAGTATTATTTTATTATCACATTTTAAATCTTAAATTTGGTAAATTACTAGGTTTATTAAGCTTGCAAATTTGAAAAAATATTAATCTCGGAGTTTTATTTATTCCAAAAATGACCATTATTTTTGTTTCACCCTAATTTAGAAAAAAAAAAAAAAAAATGTTTTTTCTTCTTATGAATCAATGATGATTAAAGTTATAATTTAAAATATTTTAATGCATTGAAGAATTTATCTTGATTTTATAATAATAAAATTACCTCATATTTCAAAATAATGTAGCAAACAAATAAATTAATAACGTAATAGGTTTATATTTATCTTAGACTCGAGCATAATAATCCCAATAATAATTTAACGCCTTAAAACTCTTACCCTCCCGTACCTATATCTTATTCTTATTGTTTATTTTATTCTTGTTATTTTTTTAATCTTATTATTAATTTAAGTTTACTCTTACTATCATTTATAATCATTATTCTTACTATTTTCATATTTTTTATTATTCTTGTTGTTGAATCCACACCATCTTAATATTCACAACAGTAAAAAAAATGTATGCTTTTTTAAACCTTATATATCATTATAGGTACCAATCCATAGATGTTGACATCTCATTAGACCAAATTGTTATTATTATTAAATAAACTTAAACTCAAACTCAGACATACAAGATTATTAAAAATGCAAGTCATATTCTTAGATCCATCTTACTTTGAATGGTAAATTTAAAAAAATTAAGTAGAACAAAATATTATAAAAATCTCAAAAATAATAATGAAGATAGTAAAATTTTAATAAATAAAAAATGGAAATTAATTTTTATTCAGTTGATCATAAAAAGTTTCAAAAATTTTGTGAGAGCAATACTAAATATTAAAAAACAAATAAAATTTGTATTCAAATTTCATACATACTTCTTTCTTTCCATCTGGCATTGTGAGACTCGGTTGTGGACTGAGGGATTCCTCACTGGCTGGAGAGCGACAGTCTCTCAACCAGAGATCTGGAGTTATCAACCCAGGTCCGCTCTCCGCAACAGTACTCTCTCGCAGGTGAGGATGGGCTTCGAGGTGGGCCTCTGTTTCTTTGCAGAAGATGTTCATCTTGTACTGGTTGAGGCATTTATCACTGCAAATTAATTGAATAAGATGTTGAAGGCTGATAAAAGATTTTTCTGATAAACTCAATTCAAATTAAGCAAGCTTTTGACGTATTTAGTTAATAAGAGCTGTAAAGCCATGTAAATAGAGTTGCCTGTATTAAACAACTATGACACAATTACTTTAAGGTATATTAATTTTTTTTTATAAATCTATTTTCCATAATAATCGACATTTGTCCAATTAAATTCATTTTTATTCATTAGTTGTTGATTAAAAATCCTAGTATTGATTTTATTTAATGATATCCAAGATAATAATAAATATTATTTTGGCCATGAAAGTATCAACCAATAATCAATTATACATACCTACAGAATTGTAGTTGATGATCACCATCTTGAAAGTCAACATAGTTGACAGTGTGTCGAACATGCCGGCACCAATCACAAGTTTTGTTCCTTTTAAAGCTTGCTCTCCTACATTGAGTAAAACATTGTTCCGAGCAAAACACCTTATTGCCATTCGGTGTCTTCAAACTGAAATCTTTCGAATTCCCCACTTTCTGGCACCAAGCGCAGCAGAGGCAATCATTTGCAACTAAAACATAAAAAATTATTTTAGTAAAAGGAAATATTTATTCACTTTGTATTACTGGAAAGTTTTTAACAAAATTTAAATTGTTTATGTATAAATTGATAAAATTTGAAATGATGATTATAAAACTATCAATAAGAATAACAAATCAGTCTTGTAGGTAAGCCCCAAAGAGGACCCCCACAGATTTTCTATCACAGAAATTTTGGTTTGAGATGTCAGGATTTAATTAATAACAGAATTTATCATACAAAGAATAGTTCCTAGAGCTCTTATATTTCAATTATTTATTTGATTATTGCCTCTTCAATTAAATAATATTAAGATGATAGAGTGACCTATTTACAAATTTATTTTAAAAATGCTTAACAGTATAACATATTTTCAAGTATTGCGAACAATGTTATTATATAGTGTAATACAACTACTAGAAGACATTAAACATTCTTTAACATAATAAATTAATATAATAATATACTTTAAAAAAATAAAAATAATTTACAATGATTAGAAAGCAAGGAATATTTTTATAGTTGATTTTATCAACATAATCTTGATGATTAATCGCATATTTATTTATATGTCAAGCGTATTTATGAATTTTTAAATGAATAGAGGAATAGAATGCAGCGTTGGTGAGAAGTATGACGGTAGAGAATGCCGAGAATGAGCAAAGGAATCGTAGTCATTTTCTCAGAACCGGCTTGTATCAGGACGTCATAGATCTGTAGGAGCAACCAGTTCGACGGCAAAATATGGTCGCCTCTCTCGGTCCGATATTTTCAACTTATCTTTCATTCTTTTGCCAGTATTTCAACATTTTTTTTAATGTTCGATTTAAATTTACGGTAGAGGCATGTAATAACCAAGTTAACGATAAATCCAATTTAAATAAGAAACATACCTAGAAATCAATTTCTCACAAAACCCGACTTGCCAATATTCTTTTAGTATTAGACTCGGGCGAAAATTCGCACAGTTTGTTGTTCAATGATCAAATTATAAATTAATAAGAAAATAAAACAATGCAACATATCATAAAAGAAATCAATTGTTACTTTCTCGCTAAATATAATCGACAAAGAAAACAAAAATTAATTTAAAACTTCGTAAATGTTTGGACAACCATGTTTACAAATCTCAGTAAGCTGTATCTTTGCCTTGTATTATCTCGAAAATAGTAAGTTTTGGTGCTTAAGAACGGAGGGTAGAACTTTCCAGTTTTTGCTGTACGCATAAAAATCTTCAAAGCCCAATTTGTCCCGTATCGATCTACAGACTTATCACCGTTCCAGTATTGAAGCCTAGCAAAATGTTTGGATCGACTATTTATTTTAGAAAGAAAAACAAAAACGGAGAGTACGATTCGCTAAACCCCCGCGAAATTCTGAATCCAACGGTACCCCATACATGGTATTTGTGCACGAAAGGAGCTTATATTTGGTAAAAAACCGATTTCGAGCCTTACTGTAATAATAAATGTGGGGATTTTCTGTCATTTATATAGTACAAAAGAAGTTTATATTTCTCGCTGACGTATTTTGTAATACACAATGAATCAGCATTTTTTTTTTTTGCCAGATTTATAAATATTATTTTTAATAGTAAAGTTGTTAAAATTTCAAAAAATTTGTCTTGTGAGACAACGTTACGTCATGGCCTGTCAGCTCATAGCTCAAACTGTCGATATTCTTATACTTAATAGCTTTTGTTAGAGTTTTCAGCTCCAAAATTTACCTCTAAGAATTATTTTTCCTCATCCTGTCCGCTCAGAATAAATGTATTTAGTTCAAAGTGTATTTTATTAGCTATTATAGGATGCTTATAAAACAGTCGAGAGACACTTTGAGAAAATTGTATTTGACAGCCGTATATATCATTCATTGTCCGTGGTACAGACTCTTTTTTATGAAATTATTGACATCTGCCTAAAACTTCGTGAATAGATTCGTCTCATCGTAAGCTAGAACTTTTTTGTTTAATGAACAGCCTGCACCAAAGTACTGCTGCGGTATTCTCACAGTCAGCCATATTCTCCTAGAGTGTCTGTATTACGTATCAATTCTAACCAAATTAGGTCCCAGACCAAAATTATAAGTTGTTTTAAATAAAATGAAATTAAAATAAAGTCGAGGATAAATTTTCTTAAAGCTAATAAATTGCTTAACAAAATTTAAATTTGAATTTTTCTTTTCAATAATAATTTATTATTGATACAATTGAAATGAAGAATAGGTAGGCGTTGGTGACCTCGGGGTTTTACATCCCCTAAGCTCTAACAACAGCAACAATAGCAACCTTTTTTATCGGATGTTAATAATTTGATAAAAACGGATCTTTACCACGGACTATCACGCATTAGTGGGTTGAAATCTCACATCCGAGACAAACTGTTAATCACAGATTTTAGTTAAATTTTAACATTTTGTTTATGACTTTAAAAATGTAATATCAACCTTATATACTCTCTTGATCACTTGAATTCTATTGCAGCCCAAATTTAAGCAGTTTATTTTTTCAGGAAAGTACCCCGTTTATATTGCTTCGCAGAGCTTTGGCAATGATCACGACTGTATGTAAATTAAAAATATTACTGAATTATTGAAAGAATTGTGTCGACTGTTCTACATATCATGGGTGATAAATATTCAGGATATTCACAATTCTGTAATCATAAGAAACCTTGTACACATCTTAAATATTTAGTCAGCAAATTATTTACATTCTACAAATAGAAATATTACCTCCCTCCTCCCTCTGACTGTGTTTACCTATGTTTCTATCGGAAAAAGGACAACTAGGAAATCCTCCCCTCACCTCTCATATTTACCTACCAAATGTGTTAGTACTTGAATATCTTCAGTGCTCGAACCAGGGTTGGTTAGAGAAAATATTACAATTTTTATAAATGAATTTTTTTTGTTTTATTTATTTATTTAGAAATATACCAATCTGTCACATGGACAATAATTATAGTGATATATGATATAACACATTCATACCATGTATACAGAAAACATAAAATTAGCAAAAGTAAAATAATAATCAAAAACTATGTACAATAAAAAATAAAACAACCTAAAGATAAATAAATTAAAAACATAAAAACACAGTCATACCTATATACAATCAGGCAGGGAACCCCAAATCAGGCTTCTCCCTCCAAATATAGAAGGAAAAACGGGACTTCAAGAGATCCCTGCGCTACTCTCTCAACCGCGTCACTGCTGCTAAAACCAGTGGATTTAGAGCGAGAGCGCTTTAGCCACATACACTCATGTCTTGAGTGAAGAATCTGGCCATTGCCAGAACTCTAACATATATACTACAATAGATCTCTGGGCCACTGCCGGTTCAACCTTCGAGAAGGATTGTAGGGATGAGTGGAACTAGAAAGGGATTGTGCTAGGGGATTCGGATGATTTATAATGTTATGATGGAATTTGGAAAAATCACCCATAAAAATATTCCTGATTAACCTCGGAATACTTTAACCATTTATATCAAGACTATAGAGCGTGAACCTCAGATTCACATGCATACATATATATTTAAAAAATATATAAATGACATATTGTTAGGTAACCAATGGTTGATCAGATAATAATCACTAGATAATCTATTGATGATAGTGTTTGCCTAGAGGTGGTATAGCATTACTGCGGCGGAATAGACAGCCACCGGACACCAGATCTATTGATAGATAAGCTGGCTAAACAATAAGCTAATCGACACTCTGACAGTAGAGGGAGGATAGAATGAAGCTAAAGAATACTGGCTGGGCTAGGATATCCGAGGTGGAACCCGACCTGGCAATCCTACACCGCCAGGTGCCAACTCCACCCCGCGTACTCTTTAGCCAACCCCAATTCGACTGGGACTACGGGTCTCCTCTCAGTCATTTTTTCATCTCATTCTTCAAATTACGTTCAGTAAAAGATTGTTGTAATACTCAATATTTTTTTTTTCTCATTAAATTTGCCACTGCGTTGTATCAAGCAAATGTGTTGGAGTTTATTCTGTCTTCTTCAATTCTTGATATTTTCTTAACTTTTCAGCAGAAGATCTCTAGGCCACTGCCTTTTTAGTCGTCGTTGAGACTCACCAGGTAACAGGGAGGAGGATAGAGATAGAACGAGTGGATTTGGATGGTTGAGATTAGAAGAATGAAATGTTGTGTACTTGTTGTGTATGTAGGATTTTACTTTTGGTATGTTCATGCCTGTGTGTATGGTGTGATTTGAAATAAACCAAGGAGCATTGACGATTTTACGAAGTATTTTGGATTGTGTGGTTTGAATTTTAATTATGTGCGTGTGTTTTGCGGAACCCCAATGTTCTGCTCCGTATGTCCAAATAGGTCTTAGCATAGTGGTGTAATTTATTCGCTTGTTTAGTAAGTTGAGTGGAGATCTGTAGTCCTCAATAAATAAATTTAAAAAAGTAAAAGATTATATCAAATTTAAGAACATTCAAAGTGGCAAAGAGCAAAGTTTGTTTTATTTTTGAAGTGAAAACTTCATTAGGCGCGTTTTGTACTTATTTTTGGAGAATGAATTAGATTGTACCATCAGATCTTCGAAGTGTAACGCTCAGATAAAGTTGGCTAGAGTCGACTAATTGAAGTGTTTTTGCTTATGGATTAAAATATCTCAAAAACTAAAAATCGGACCTACAAGCTATAAGCGAGGGAAATCTTCATCCTTATTTCATCCTCTTTGTAATGAGCTATTATTCAAAGTTGTATCTTAACCTGATGACGCGTTAGAGAGGCAAAATAGAAAAAATAGTGTTGAAAACCAAATGAGGAGTTTTATTGAAAATATGGATTAAAATATCTCAGAAAATAAAAAACGGACTTGCATACTGTAAGTGAAGGAATTGTTCAGCATTTCATTCTCTCTGTAATGGGTTATTATTCAAAATAGTAAGCTAATTAATAAATAATCAACAATTAAGACTCTTTTTTTCATTCTCAAAAAGATAAAAAACAATAAAATTCT